TCATGGATGGGTATTCCAGCATGACAATGACCCAAAACACACGGCCAAGGCAACAAAGGAGTGGCTCAAGAAGAAGCACATTAAGGTCCTGGAGTGGCCTAGCCAGTCTCCAGACCTTAATCCCATAGAAAATCTGTGGAGGGAGCTGAAGGTTTGAGTTGCCAAACGTCAGCCTCGAAACCTTAATGACTTGGAGAAGGTCTGCAAAGAGGAGTGGGACAAAATCCCTCCTGAGATGTGTGCAAACCTGGTGGCCAACTACAAGAAACGTCTGACCTCTGTGATTGCCAACAAGGGTTTTGCCACCAAGTACTAAGTCATGTTTTGCAGAGGGGTCAAATATTTATTTCCCTCATTAAAATGCAAATCAATTTATAACATTTTTGACATGCGTTTTTCTGGATTTTTTTGTTGTTATTCTGTCTCTCACTGTTCAAATAAATCTACCATTAAAATTATAGACTGATCATGTCTTTGTCAGTGGGCAAACGTACAAAATCAGCAGGGGTTCAAATACTTTTTTCCCTCATTGTATGCACTCACTAACTGTAAGTTGCTCTGGATAAGAGCGTCTGCTAAATGACTAAAATGTAAAATGTAAATACATCTTGACCTTAACATCTGAGGGTGAATTCATTCGAACAGACATTTATTAGGCTACTATCTAGAAGAAGAAATAACGTGGAATACGAATACAAAATGAAAGCCTATGTGTCAAGGTCATGATTACCATAACAAGTTCAAATGTGGCCCAACATGTAAGTAGGATGGATTTTGTCAACTCAAGCTCATTTCAGTATTTCGGTTATTGCGGAAAAAAAGTTAAATGCTTCTTCATACCAACTTTCTAGTATAGAGTAGCCAAACGTAGTGTATTATGAGGGCAAATGTGTGTTAATAAAAATCATCCAAAAACTGTTAGGCTATTTTTACCATGGACAGTTAATTTTGAAGCAGGCTAGTCCACTATCATTATCAAAATAGCCCCCATAATATAATCAGAGATGTGCCCAGTGCTGCACAGCTGAGCAGAAATCCTATTGATGGGCGAGCATCCAGCGGAGGACACAGGAACACGCGGATCCTAAAGCTACACTGGTGAATTTAATGAGTCAATTAACGAAATACCTCGATACCGAATAAAAACAATTTGAACAGTAGCCTATGAGCTGGTCGGGATTGGGAATGCAATCGTGTACCCTAAATATCAGGCTATGGTAAACTCATTAACTGTCATAACAAACCGCAGAGTGAAATCTCCGGGATAGGCTAGTGAACAGCTGATTAAAATGCCTCTAAAACAATATAACAGACGGCAGAAACAAGCAAGCTGAGCTTACCTCTTTTATCGTCCCCATCCCATTCAGACTTCTGGTCCTGATGCGACAGCGGTGCCTTGTTCAGCATCCTAAAGCGATGCTATTTGTCTCGAGGAAACGTGATCGTAGAGCATGGAGCTGGGGCTCATACGTTGGTTGACAAGAGACCGCTCCAATCAGAGTAATCCGATGGGGTTGTAGCCAATCCACTTGAAAGAAAGAAAGCTACTTTACATACTGTAGCAAGGTAGATTGACGTTATAAGAGTATTTCCAGGCAACTCTATTTATTTATTTTTACACATTTTGCAGAATTAGGCTACTTGCTATATAGCCCAGTTCTTTCTTATTGTAACACCAGTAGCCTAGCCTATTTGATTATGGAAGAAATTGTGGGTTATTTTGATGTATAGAATATGTATAGCATTACAAAGAATAAAAACAAAAAGCACAAAAATAAGGGAAAAGTAATATCCACCTTGATTTCTTAACTTTAGAAATTTGGTGAGAAAACCCCCATACATGTATTATCCGTAGCGACCTCAGTGGCAGCTCCCTTAAGAAAAAAGATTGCAGTCAGAGTGCAGTATAACGGCAGTATGCCGCAAATACTGCATCCAAAATAACACCGATTTTTTTTTAAACTGCAGTTAATCTGCAATTCCTACTCCAAAACACCACAGTCGACTGCACCTTTACTGCAGTTTCAAAACGGCAATCTTTTTATGTAAGGCCCGGCATTACATAAATCCCCGCTCACACTGTGCTCAACCCCGTGCTCAACCCCATACAGGATTAATGACATAAATGCAGCCTGCCAGAAACAGGACAGGCATGCTAGAAATTGGTCGAAGCGCAAACGATCACCTTCTTGGGAAAACTTCTGGGAGGAAAGAAAAAGTAGGGAATACTCTATACTAGGCTATTCTTATTTGCCTAAGAGAGTTTAAAACTCTGTAAAAAAATAAAAAATAATTACTAGGCTATAATACATGTGTTCGTTCGTACCACCACAGCAAAGGTGTGGGGGTGTTCAAAGACCAGGTTGACATTTATTGTCCCAAGTCTTCTCCTGGAGGCAGAACTGAGCGAGATTTGCCGGCTGCAAACTCAAACTTGGTCTTATTTTAAGGTTAGAGTTAGGCATTAGGGTTACCAGTATGGTTAACGTTGGGGTTAAGATTTGTATGACTTTATGACTGTGCCAGCTAGTGACCACTGTGCAGAGCTGCTTTCAGAACAAGATAAATGACGAAAAACGCTAACCTGCGTTGAAAGATCGAAATGGATTTGCACATTGACAGTGTATGGAATAGCTCGACCAGTTGTAGTCTGCATTGGACCCATGCCTAAGGAGGTAGGCATAAGCCTATTTTAAACCGGTAGTTGCATGTATTTTAAGACAGGGCTGTGACGAGCTATCCACATGCCTGTCTCACGAATATCTTGCCTTTCTTGATTCCTCAAAATACTATTAGAAAATAAATGTGAGCTTAAGGGAGATCATACCTTGAACTTGTTTCTGGCACACCAGGGGATTGAGTTAAGTTTCTTGTTCTACTTAATCACATACCTTAACTGCCAAAATTGATCATTACTAAGTTAAATTACATTACAACCCCCATGTATTTATTTAAAGCCTGTGTTGTCTGGAGTGTATTGAACCATAGGTTCAACATAGTGTATGTAATTATTTGATGATAGTAGGCTAGTTATCAATTAATTTATCAATCGATGTGATTATAAGCATTATAGGGAATGTAAAAGGTGCAAAACAAGCACTTTCCTACAGCAAACATTTCACCTGTCTGTAACAGCTCACCTACATGAGAGTTCCTCTGCAGCAGAGAACATGTTATTTGGGCTGTTGGGGAGTAAAGTACAGTATCAATCAGTTAAGTGTTTGTAGGCAAGGCCCTTCAGTAGTTACAGCTTCATTACACAAAAAAAAATCTAAGTTTTACGAAATGTGTATGTGTGGCAAAATGTATGTCATATGTTTCTAAGGCCCAGTGCAGTCAAAAACATGATTTTCCTGTGTGTTATATATATATTTCCACACTATGAGGTTGGAATAATACTGTGAAATTGTGAAAATGCTGATAATGCTCTTTTAGTGTAAGAGCTGTTTGAAAAGACCACCTGAAATGTCAGCCTGTTTTGGTGGGATGCGATAAATTAGTTAAAAGACCAATAAGAAAGAGAGTTCCAAACCTCTCTGCCAATAACAGCTAATTTTCAGTTTTCTCCTCCCCACTCAAACCACTCCCAGACACTTGTAGCAAAATTCTTGCTTGAGAAATAACTATTTGCTTTAGAAGTTTTTTTGTTTCTTTTTGACCATTTAAATTGAAAACAACCACAGTAAGGTACTTAATTGTTACCCAGAAATGATTTGATATTGAGATAAAAACGGCTGCATTGGACCTTTAATATGAATGATGTAAAAATTCATGTGAAAGAAGGCAATTGAGACTGACCAATTCAATAATTTTATTGCCCCTGGATCAGCAATAAATTTGAAAGAATTGTTTAGTAACCAGCCTGACAGGATGAAAGAATCAGGAATTCTCTTGTACAAAGCAAGGTAGTCTAATCTAAAAAATCAAATGTGCATTGCAAAATAGGATACAAATGTCCAAAACAAACATTATTAATACCAATTAATAGGATATATACTGTATATATATATATATATATATATATATATATATATATATATATATATATATATATATATATATATATATATATTATAAATAAACTATTTCCAATATCATTTTTACTAGGCTGCACACCAGGTGCTAGAAAAAGGTAAATTTAAAAATGTTGATATGTTGAAAGAAAAAGCCAAGACAAAATTATGACTGTGTTAGAAAACTACAATACTCTCTCCATGAACTTAAACTAATTGATGGATGACTGAACAAGATACATTTAACAAATCAAAGTATACTATAAAGATATTAGGCAAATATTTTGTGTGAGACCCGTTGAATTATATTTTATAGATCAATTAAACATGACTAATGTGAGTCAATTCCATGTGAAATATAGAGCTAATGTATTCAATTATCAAACTTCAAAGACCAATGAGGTAGGCCTCCTGCGCCATTTCTAAGCATAACATTCCATGTTTCCATCTGTCATTCTAGTCATCTTTCCCTCGGACCCTTAGCACTTTCCGAACCATCTTCTTCCACTCTCACACACTACACATATATACACAATTTCTACCATTCACATCTCCTTTTGTGTCTACTGCACTTGTACTTTTGTCCTTCAGTCTCAGACTTTTCCCAATTCCAACGGTCTCTTTGGCCTCATAGGTTGCCTTACCATCGACTGCTTGAAGTTTCTTCAGTTTTCTCTGGCATACATGATGCCTTTTTCTACCTGCCATGGTGGGGGGAATGCTCTCTTTCAAAGAGAGCTCCTGGGAATAGCTTTTCTATGTTGCTGTTTGGGTGACTTCGGGGAATTGTCCTGCAGAGGCCATGGTGGCTTAGTTAGCTTTATGTCCTCTTCTAGTTTAAAGGCTTTCTGTAGGGAGTTGGCTTGTGGAGGCCACACAACATATATCTTATTACTATTTTGTTTGTTCTCATCAATTTATTTCATCAATTATTTTTCAAAGGTGTCCTTTTCAGGTGAGCCTATGCTGCTCTGTGAATACCTCCAATCAAGTTGCTCTGAGGTGATGACTGCCACTTTCACTGACATCCTTTTCATTGGTAAGTGTCTGTCCAAATCCATTATCGTAGTTCCCTTTGGACTTGAAGAGTTGTTTGTAGTGTGGTAAACAGAACAGATGTCCATGGAGAGAGACATAGTTGCCAAGACTGGAGGAGACAGAACAAATTATTATTCAAAACAGTGAAGCATGGAGAAGGGATATCATTAATTACAAGATTCCACAATCATGTCAAACTTTTTACTGCTTAATTTGCAAACATAGCACAATAGAATGTGTGTCCTATGTGCAGACACAAACTGTAGGAGCAAAACCATTCAAGCACTGCTTACCAGTTCACAGCCAAAATCCACTTACTTTGAATTCACCTTGGTTGGGTGATGTGTACTTTACCTTAATTTATTTTGGCAGTGCTCGCAGCAGAAACAGGATTTATGGAAACATTTTCTGTCCGCTATTAGAGCCTCCATCAGATAGACCCTCCTCTGACACACAGTGCAAAGTGTCGACTTGGGAATTAGAGTCTGCCGGAGAAAAGTTAACATCATTATATCAGTATTTTTATAAAACATACACAATGACTCAGTAATATTAAGAAATGTTATCAAGGCATAATTTTCATGATCATGCGTAGTATACACTGAGTGGGGGGTGCAACTCATTATTCCTAATGTTTTGTACACTCAGTGTCTATACTGTGTACATGTATATCAGCCTGGTCTCATAGACTAGACGTAATATAGTCAACGTAAATCCGGGACACTCAAATGAGTATGAAATGTTACGTTTGGTATGGTTACAGAAGACCGATGGTTACTTAAGGCAAACATTGAAAGTAGGGTGGTTGGTCGGGTGGATGGGTATAACGCGAACGTCCAGCAACCAAAAGATTGCGAGTTCAAACTTTAGCATTTTAGCTAATTAGCCATTTTTCAACTCCTTACTACTTTTTAGTTCTTTGCAACTACTTAGCATGTTAGCTAACCCTTCCCCTAACCCTAACCTTAACCCTTTTAGATAACCCTTCCCCTTTAACCTAACTCCTAAACCTAACCCTAACCTTAACCATAACCCCTAACCCTAACCCTTAGGCAGCTAGCTAACGTTAGCCTTTCGCTAGAATTCGTAACATATCATACGTTTGCAAATTCGTAACATATAGTACCTTTTTTTAAATTCGTAACTTATTGTACATTTAGCAAATTCGTAACATATAATACAAATTGTAATTCGTAGCATATCATATGAAATGGGGGATGGACATCCACAAAATAATACATACCATATTAAACGTAACATATCATACAAAATGGAGTGTCTCGGATTTACATACAGAATAATACAAAATGCTCTGAGACCAGGTTGTATATACATCATCAAACAAGTGCAATCACATTAAAGGTGAAATGAAAAAATAATTTTCAAAAATCTCAAACGTTCTTTACTGATGGCAAACAGTATTGACCCAAACTTGTACTTTGTGTTGTTTTTTTATGGTCAAACATGAATGGTTGCATTTAAATAGGATGTGTGAGATTCTATTCCATAATTTCCCTCATGTCATCATCGTATCATGCTTAGCTCTTGTTCTTTTGCCATGATTCATTAATTGAAGCATTAGTTATTTGTCCATTCACAATAATTACTCTCCATGTAAAAACAGGCACATGTAAACATGTTAGGTCTCATTGAATATTGGAGAGGGCATTTTTACATGCCGTTATATCCTGTTAGTTTCAAGTCCCATCATGCAGGCAGCACAACTGTCTTTACCAGTAACAACGGTCTTCGTTTGATGTGACAGAACATGTGATGTTCTCTCCTCTGAAACACTGTAGCCGAGACTCTTGAAAACACTCTCACTCTCCGTCCATGTTTTGTGGAAATTCCTCAGCAACTCTTCAGTGGAAGCCTCTTCAGGGGATTCAGACAGCGTCATCTCAGACTTTTTTTTTTTTTTAACCACGTCAGCATATGAGAAAGGGGCACGGTGGGTTGTTATGCTCTCTGAGTGCTGGGAAACAGTTGTGCTGCTCAGTGATCCAATTGTCTTGTTGCCGAATTCATCTAAGCTTGAGAAATGCTCTGTGACTGACTTGGTTTCAGAGAAGCCTGTTGGGTTTGCTGACATGATTTGCACTTCTTTCTGGGAAGGCAGGGGCGAGATCTGCCCGGAGCCCCTCTGTGTCTCCTGGGTGTTATCCTGCTTTGAACTGTCTCTTGTGTTTTCACTCAGGTTTGACTCCAGCTCCTCCTGTTTATTTTTCTCCCCTTTGAAAGAGGGACTTTGCTCAACCATTTCAAAAACATTTTTAATAGCCTTGATGTCAAAAGTTGGCATTTCCTCTTCTTGGGTTTCTGTATTTTCTATGTCAGTCTCTGTGTATTCCGTCTCACTCCCAAGTCTTTCTCTCATTGTGATAGGCTTCCTGACATATACTTTATCTTCTGCTGTTTCAAATTTGTTGACTAATCCTGACAAGTCCACCTTTGGAAGGTCCTCCTTCTCGTTCTCTTGGTTTCCTGGTTCGAGTTCCTCCATGTCTGGACCCAAGCGCTCAGGGATATCAATGGGATCCTTTCGCACATACGTCTTATTTACTTTAGCTTTATGAGCCTCTTCAAAAAACTCTCTCTTGTCTCTCACTGATGTAGTTGCTGCTGATGAGTCTGACATTTCTGAAGCTTCCATCAATTCTTTATCAGTTGACTTTGCAGATCCCACTATTTCAGCATTGTTCTCTGTGACCTTCTCAGATGTGCTTTGTGTGTCATCCTTACTCTCTTGGTTTGTTGTTTTGGGCTCCTCCATGTCTGGGCCCAAGTGCTCTGGGATGTCGATGGGATCTTTTCGCACATTGGTCTTATTTACTTTAGCTTTTTGAGCATCTTCAAAAAACTCCCTCTTGTTTGTCACTGACGTAGTCACCATTGACGAGTCTGACTTTTCAGAAGCTTCCATGACTTCTTTATCCGTTTGATGGAATGACTCTGTATCTGTGACCTTTACATCAGCCTTTTGAGCATCTTTAGAAAATTCTTTTTCGTGTTTTTTGGCAGTGACAATTGTTGTGCCTGAAACTTCTGAAGTTCCCTCAGCTTGTCCCTCAATTTTGATCTGCCGATGGAATGATGCAGGGGATTCCACAATCTCAGATTTCCTTTCTGTGACTTGCATAGGAAGTGGAACTGGAGGTGGTGTCACTCCACGGGAAAGTTTGGCTGTAGTATCCTTTAGCCGCGCCAAGTTCTCTGCTCTAGAGAAGGTGGGAGAGGGTGTGGCTCTATTGATGCGTGATGTAGGAGTTTCCGATTTGCGAGGGGGAGGTGTTGGGGGAGTGGCTGGTCTGTGCATTGGGATAGGTGATGGGGTTATTCTCTGAGGAGAGTCAGTTCTCCGGGTAGATTCAATGGTAATAAAGGTGGGTGAGGGTGAGCGCATCCTTAGTAAGGGTGAGGGTGAGCGCATAGATTTTACACTCAACTCTTGCATTTTGCTTTCATGTGATGTCTTTTTGCTTTCCACAACTTTCTTTTGATTTTCAACTTTCAAAGAGCCAATACTTATAGGATGTATTCTTTGAGTTGCACCACCAACAATGATCTTTTCAGAAGTAGGTTCACACTCATGCTTCTCCAGATTAGTGTGGATCCCCTCTAAACACATCAACTTTGCCTTTGCTAGTTTTTTCACATATGAAACAATTTCTGTAAGCTTTTGTATATTATGCTCAACTGCAGTTCCCTCCAAATAAATATTTTCCTCAGGACCAATGAGCCACTCTGGAATAGTATTGAGCAGTGTCTTCACAGATTTAGGATCTATTTTTCCTGAAGCTCCCTCTAACTCTGTTATATGTGAGATTAACTTCTGTACATGTTCTCGTCTTAGAGAATCCTCAGTGCTCTCTGTTGAGGGCTTCGCAGGTTCCTTTTGTGCTGACATGCTTGTCATTTTTCCACTTTCCACTTTCACTGGAACATTTCTGTACTCCGCCTTTGGTTTCTCTTGAATCTGTTGGCTTACTGTCAACTCTTTCTTATTTTGAGATGCCTTGACCTGCTTTTCGACTTTAACTGTTCCTTGTTGCTGGAGACTTTGATGAACTTTTCTTTCAACTTTTCTTTCAGTGATAATAACTTCCTTATGGACCTGGATCTGCTCCTCTTGATGGGCATTTTGTGTCTGCGCTACAGTGATCTCCTGACTTTGAGTGGAACTTTCAGAAACAGATTTAGTTGATTCTGCGGTGGAAGCTGCAGCTTTAGCTTTTGACTTCTTCTTCTTCTTCTTTCTTGCAGAAGTTGGAGTTGCTGGTTGGTTGTCTTTAATAGCAGGAGCTTTCTGACTGTCCTCCTTGACCTTGACGTCAGTCTGGGCATGTGTTTGCTCACTAGATACCTTCAACTTAGTGACTTCCTTTACTTCCACCTTCACCTGTGAAATGTTTTCCATCTTAGTTTCATCTGGCTGTTTTGTGTCTTTTACTTCTACTTGCTTTTCTGGCCCTTTGGCCTTCTTTTTTTTACCTGTTTTGACATTAGTTTCTGTGGATAACTTTTCTACTTTGATAGGCTGACTAGGAACCTTCTCAGGTGCTTGTGATACAGAAATGTCATCTTTCTTTTTGTCTTCTGAGGGTGATTTCACTGCTTTGACATTTGTTTCTTGGGTTACCTTTACTGTTTCGGTAGGCTGGACAGAAACCTTCTCGGGAACTTGGGATGCAGAATTTTCCTTGTTCTTTTTCTCCTCAGATTTATGGGAACCTTTATTTTGTACATCCTTCTTGATGTCTGTTTTTGTATCTTCAACTTTTCTATCATCACTGGTTGAGCTCTGGACTTGAGAGATACTTACAGCAGAGTGTGGCTGCTTGGCGGATGCTGAAGTTCCCTGTTGTTTAGTTGCGGTAACTGTCTGTTGCTTTGTGGAGGAAATAGATGTGGTCTGGTGCTGAACGGAGACGACTTTGGATGTCTGATTAGAGACAATATGCTGTTTAGTTGCAGAAATAACAGCAGATTCAGGGAGATTTTGCCCATATACAGCAGAAATCAAAGTCGTGCTTGAAGGAGTATCTGAAATTTGGGCGTGCTTGAATAAATCAGATGATAGTGTGTCTGGCTTGACATTGGTCACAGTCTTTTCAGCCATCTCTTGAGTGAAACCAAATGTCATGCTCTTTTTTGATTGCTTCATACCTGTCTCCTCAGAGGAAAGCATTTCAAGGGCAGCAGTGACTGACTCATGCATGAAAATGGGACTTGGTGTAGCAGGGGGTGTACTACCCACTTTCTGTTTTCTGTACTTTTCCTCTGCCTTTATTAATGGAGTTTTGAATTTAGTGGATCTCATGAAGGGAGGAGGAGAAGGTGGAGGAGTAAATCTTATAGGGGCGACGTAAACTTTCTTTAATGGTCGTGGTGATTCTGGGGGTTTTGGGATTTCAGACAAAACAGTTTTTGATGAAAAGGATGTTAATTCACTTTGAGTTTTGCTGATTTCCAACACAGATTTGTTGACTGTGGTTGTATGTTTCTCCGAGGTTGCCTGTTGAATTTTCTGAATCTGACCGGTTGGCTCAAGTTTCGAGACTTGGTGCAATGCAGGACCTTTCACCTTTTTGACCGTCATTTTTGTGGCTTTTGCTGGTGATGGATCAGTTGTCTGGGATGGCATAGAGTCCAGTTCATGCTGTGAGGGTGGGGGTGGAAGGAAATCCAGTGGTGGTGGAGGGAAATGATCAGGCTCAGAGTCAACAGGTGGTGGGGGAGGAGGAGTTGGGGGAGGAGGAAAGTCCAAGTCCAGCCTATGGATAGAGGAGGGCTGGGTTAGGGATGATTGATCGTCACATGGTGGAGGTGGGGGAGGGAGAGAAAGTTCAGACTCAGACAATGTCCGTGTTGGGGTTTGAACATTTGTTTTTACTTTGGTTTTATCTAGTCTGATCATACCCTTTCGACTTGAATTGAGGTTACGGAACTTAGTCTCCAAAGTTTTAATGCCATGGTTTTGAGTGATGGTTGTGTGTTGCATTACTGTCTTTGATTGTTGAGTAGTCTGTGATTCAGATGCATTGATTGTGGTTTGAGTTGAGAGGGATTGATTCTCTTGTGTTGAGCTCTCAGTTTTCGCCGAATTAGCTGTCTTAATTTTTTGTATGTTTCTCTGTGCTTCAATGCTTTGAGACTTATTTTTAAGTGTCTCACTCTCAGTTTTGGTTACAACAGAACATTCAGGGCTACCTTGCTGTGAACGTAATAGAGGGCTTCCTTGCTGTGAGCGCAATGGAGATCTCACAGGGACTTTGACCCTTCTAGCTCCCACTCTGATTTTAGGAGAGGCACGCTGAGCTGATTCCAGCAAGGATTTGATTGTGCCTTTAACATCACCCTTTATCACCTCCTCTTTCTCTGGTTGAGTTTGTTCCTCCCCCGTCTCATGCACCTCAGGTGTCTCGTAGAGTGACTTAATGGACATTTTCACATCACCCTCGAAGCTGGGCCTCCGGGTCATTCTTGGAGAAGCTGGTGGTTCCAATAAGAGCTCAATAGTGCCTCTCACATTTCCCTGAACATCTATTTCCTGTTGACATGTCCTTCTGTCATTAGAAGCATCTTGTAAACACTGCTTGGCTGTATGAATGTTACCCTTTACAATCTCTTCCTTCTCGATCACCCTGACTGTTTGCTTTGCCTGCTCCAGGGATTTTAAGGTACCTTTGATGTCTCCAGGAATTAAATCTTCGATGCCAACTTCAACTTTGGAGGTTGCAGATTTCTCTAGGGACTTCCGTGCCCCTTTGATGTTGCCGTGGACAATCTCTGGCCTTTCCACCTCTTTGGGCTGTCTTTGGGCCCACTCAAGGTGCCTTCTAGTTTTGTGTATGTTACCTCTCACCACCTCCTCTTTCTCTACAACCACTGTCTGATTTACAGACTGAGACAGGGAGTTCATAGCTGCTTTCAAATCACCCCTCACAATTTCCTCTTTTTGTAGGCCATCCAGTGAGATTGTGGGTTCACTCATGAAAGCCTTGACTGAGTTGCGAACATCTCCACGCACTATGTCCTCTTCAACTACTGTACGCTCAATTTGTGCTCGATTACTGCCAAGAATGAGTTTTGTCCCCTTTATATCCCCTCTAATAATCTCCTCTTTCTCTATCTTTTCAGGTGGAGTCTCATCTGGCTCTACCTGTAGTTGTTTGAGATAGTCAAGCGCCCCAGATTCAATGCATGTGGAGTAAAAGTTTACGTTTCCCTTTTCTGTCTCATCCACCTTTATCCTCATCTGCTCTTGGTTTTCTGGGTTGGATAGTCTTTGGAGAGCATTCCTTATATTGCCTTTGATTATATCCTCTTTTTCAACACTGATGTCCTCTTGTTTATTTAGAAGAGAATATATAGTCATTCGCACATCTCCCTTCTCATCCTCTTGAAGGAGTATACCACGTTTAGCAGATCCTCCCTCCTTGAGAAGATTGTTTACAGCTTCCTGGATGTCACCTCTTAATATTTCCTCCTTTTCCACATTGACGTCCCTCTCTTGGTTGAACAATTGATACATTGTTGTACTGATATTACCCTTCTCTTCTGACTCTACCACTACTCCCCTCTCAATTGTTTCCTGACGGTTCAAAAGATTCATCATAATGTTGTTCAGATCCCCGCTGATGATTTCCTCTCTTTGGATCTCTGGAGAATCCTTATTCATTAGCTGGTATTTCGCCATTCTTATGTCTCCAATTTCATCTGCTTCAATGAGTATTCCTTTTGAATTAACAATTTTCTGGCTATAAAGTTCCTCAAGGGTTCCTTTGATACTTTTACCCAGGATTTCCGACTTCTCAACACGGTTCTCATTAAAGTTATGGAACGGAGTTGTTTCAAACAGCCATGTTGTTGTCTTTACATCGGCTTTGGGGATCTCCTCTTGAACAACTACTATATCATCCTCATCTATCTCCTTTATATGGTCAAGGGGATTCTGTTCGAAGAGCCACACTGATTGTCTAACATCTCCCTTTACGGCCTCCTCTTTCATGACGGTTTCTATTAAATTCTCTTCACTCTGGCTACGTATTTTATCCATTGTTTGAGTTTCAAACATCCATTTTGCTGTCCTGACATCACCTTTTTGGATTTCACTCACATTAACTGTTCGCACAGACTTCTGTGACAGCTCATCTGATTCAAAACGCTGTTTATTCATTCTAACATCTCCTCCTTGAATATCTTCAACGGTTTTAACTGAAACTTTAATGTCCTCTGCAATCTTATCAAGAGGCTGTGTTTCAAATCTCCACTTGGCTGAAGTAACATCTCCTTTCTGAACATCCTCCTGTGTGACGGATTTGATTATATAGACCTCATCTGTATCCCTGATAGAATCGAGAGGCTTAGTTTCAAACAACCACCGGGACCCGATCACATCACCCTTCAATATCTCCTCGCTTGTGACAGTGGTGACCTCATGATAATGACCCTCTTTGTCTTGAATGGCATAAAGAGGCTGAGTTTCAAACATCATGGTATAGTTCCTTACATCCCCTTTCTCTTCCTCCTCACAGGTGATTTTCTGCAACTTTGTAATATCGGTCTCTGTCTCCGAGGACACCTCCTGGATTTTGTCCAAGGAGTAGGTCTCAAAAATGAAACGGCCTTTGTCCACATTACCTCCTTGTACATCCATCACAGTGCGGGTCTCCAGAGCCTCTTCTTGGGTGTCATGTATGGCATCTATAGACTGGTTCTCAAAGAGCCATTTGCAGTTCACCACATTTCCTTTCTGGATGTCCTCTGATTGTGTAGTTTTGAGCATTTGCATAACCTCTTCAGATGTTGAGGTCATGATATCAGAGGACTGGTTCTCAAATATATACTTCATTCTATTCACATCTCCTGACTGAATGTCTATCTCAGTAACCCTCTTAAAGCTTTCATCCTCCCCTGTGATGTTCTCAAGGTTCTCTGTCTCAAATAGAAAACGAGCCATTCGTACATCTTTGCCCTGGACATCTTCTTGATTTACTGTGCATGTTTGTAGAACAGTTTCGGTCTCATCTCGGATAGTGTCAAGTGCCTGTGTCTCAAACAACCATGTGCAGGTTTTTACATCTCCTTTGTGTATCTCCTCACTCTCATTTTCACTCTTCAACTCATCCTTCTCGTATGGGACATTCATTAGTTTAGTCTCAAATAACCACTTACCGGTTTTAACATCACCTTTTACAATCTCAACACTTTCCTTAGTTGTAGTTTCCTCATCCTCAATATTGCTGAAGTATTTAATTGCATCAAGAGGCTGTGTTTCAAACAGCCACTTGGCAGTTTTAACATCACCGGACTCAACTTCTTTGGATATTCCTTTAATAATTTGGTAATTAGTGATACTTTCATCGAACTGGTCAATGGGGCATGTTTCAAACATCCATTTGCAGCTTGTTACGTCTCCCTTGACAACCTCTTCTCGATGCACTGTTTTTACCTCATGGTAATGGCCAGAGCTGTCTTGCATGGCGTACATTGGTGTAGACTCAAACAGATGTTTGTTAGATTTCACAGAGCCACATGTTACACCCTCCACGAGTATCTTTTGAGATTCATCCCATCTGGTTAAGTCTGTGGTTTCAAATATTTGCTTGTAGTTTGAGACATCCACTTTATCGATTTCCTCCAGGTTAATGGTTCGAACAACTTCCTTCTTTTCTTCTTGAATGTGCTCCAGGGGTTGACTTTCGAAAACCCACTTCTGATGTCTCACATCCCCCTTCTCTTCATCAAGTCTCACCATTTTTTGTAGTTTCCCAACCTCAGCAAGGTCTTTTAAATTATCAGCTGGAGCAGTTTCAAAGTAATGTCTCGCTGATCTGACATTACCTCTGACAATTTCCGTCTTAGAAAAGGTTCTAGCATTTGAATCATCTTTCAAAGTATCCATTGGCTGAGTCTCAAATGCCATGCAATTCTTACGGACATCTGCATTGTAGCTTGTACCTTCCTCTTCAGTCAGATTTTCGATGTTCACAGTACGAATAATCTCCTTCTTCTCATCTCTTATGTTCTCTAGTTGTTCATTCTCAAACATCCATTTTTGGTGTCTTACATCACCCTTCTCTTCTTCAGCTGCCACTACCTTTTTGAGCCTCCCTACCTCATTGAGATCCTTCAAAGCTGCCTTGGGACTAGTCTCAAAGAAGTTTCTTGCAGATCTAACATTACCACCAATAACTTCTTCGATAGTCAGGGGTCTAGCATTTGAATCATCTTTCAGAGAATCCATTGGCTGAGTTTCAAACACTAAGCAATGTTTTCGGACATCAGCTCCGATTATCTCTTCCTTTTGCACCGTTGAGCTTTCCCATTCATCTTCGTTAATGGAGTCTAAGGTCTTTGTCTCAAACAACCATCTACCCCTGTAAACATCTCCTTTGTAGTTGTCTTCCATGGACAGGCTACATACAAGTTTCACTGGGGAAGGGAGTCTATTAGTCATGTCCAGGGCTTGGGTATCAAAAAGCCAGGTTGATGTTTTAGTTTCCGCCTTCTCAGTTTCCACTTTGCGTATAGATGTTATCTCCAACATCTGGCCTGACTGTCCCATGAGGACGCACATAAACTGAGTCTCAAATGTGCTTGTGATCGTCTTCACTTCTCCCTTTATATCCTCAAGCACTGACCTCAGACTCAGGAGGTGACTGTCATCAATGGTCTCAGTATGGCCTAAAGTTTCCATGTACTGAGATTCAAGCATGTATATGGTAGAGCTGCCATCTTCCTGGGTAAATACTATCTCTTTGGTTAGCTCTTCATCGCCATGCATTTTGTTCAGGGTCTCCATGGGCTGGTTTTCAAACAACCAGGCTGCAGCACGGACATCTCCTTTGTCCAACTTATTGAATCGGTTTCTATATTTAGTTGAAGCTATGTTGTCTGATCCCAATGCATCCATGGGCTTGGTCTCAAACATCCATGTTTTGCTTCTTACATCACTCCCAACAATCATCTCCTGTTCCATGTTTTGGTCGTCATCCTCATTTGAGGCGTCGTCTTTGATGGCATCCAGAGGTTTGTTCTCAAACATCCAGCGCATTGACTGCACCTCCCCTTTGAGGATCTCATCCCATTCTAGGTATTCTTCTTCTGGGCTAATGCAGTCGTTGGGGCTGCTACCGTTATCCTCGTATATATACCTCGTCTCCCCTGTGAACTCCTCCTGACTCCCCTGTCGGGTGTTCTCATACACAGCCGCATCACTATACATCTCTATGTTTTTACGAACCTCAGGATGGATATGCTTGTAAAGGCGCTTCAACTCATACTGGTTTCTCTGCTTGAAGTATTCCTGTTTACTGAGTGGATGTTTAGAGGGGTAAGCTGATTCCGGAGGCTCAGGTGAGTAGTAGCACTCTACTGGCATATCTGGACTTTCTGATGGGACCTGCAGTAAGTCTGGTGGGGGAGGTGGGAAGTACTCTAAGTCTTCTGGAGGTGACGGAGGGAAACATTCTGTATTCTCGTAGTCAATAGCAACAGGAGATGTGTCCTCTATCGCTTCAGTAGCAGAATCTTCCCATATCTCACTTGATGAGACATTATGTATCTCACTTGATGAGAAATTCTGTATATTACTTGATGAGAAATGTTGTATCTCACTTGTTGAGACTTGTTTTTGTGATACATTTGAGGCCCACTGAGACCTATTGATGTCAGCTCGGCCAATCTTTTTGGGAAGAAAATAATGATTGGTGTCATTAGAGGTCCCTGACATGTTTTCAGAAACAAAATTGAATCCAAACATTACATGTATAGCTTGTTTAGCATGCCAACTCTTTGTTTATCACTAATTGTCAATATTCAATCTCATCGTTATTAACTGAGGGATTGGTGCCCGACATGGTTTAATAGAAGAATCTTGATCATTTTAAAAACAAGGGAAGAAAACTTCTTATAGTGTTATTTAACAAGCTGTAATTACACATTAGCTACACTGCAACTAATTACCATTCAAATAAAGTTAAACTTTTTCAGCAATGGGGATAAAAAGTAGAAGGGTTTGTGCGCAGTAACCTAATCCAAGATTATACAGTTTCTGTCCATTGAAGTAAAATTGGTTTAAGACAAAGCATGTCCAATTACCTTCATTGGTTTGCTTGGGGCAGCTTCTTCAATGGTTCTCTCAAAGTGATCTCTCAATTCCTTGGTTGTAAGTCTAGGACCTTCCTCCTCTAAAAATGTAAAGATGACAAAACAATATAATCTTAAAGATTCATCCATCAACTTCATATGATTTCATTTAAAATAATTTGAACAGTGCTACTGATCATAATGATGTGCATTCTGTAAAATATAATGAGCATAAACTGTAGTAACATCCTACAGTACCTGCTTCATTGTTATGGTTGTTTTCATAACTGGAGGCCAAGTTTTCTTCATGTGTGACCTGCATCAGAATGACACATCTATTAGAAAAATTCCCACCTTGTCACGATCGTCAAAAGGAGCGGACCAATGCGCAGCGTTGCGAGTGAACATGATGACTTTATTATTTAAAGCAACCACGAAGAAAACAACAAATGACGATACGTGAAGTTCAAATACTGATACAAACTAACAGCAACACGGAAACAATAACCCACAAAACAAAGGAGAAAACACACAGAATATATATGGCTCCCAATCAGAGATAACGAGCCGACAGCTGACACTCGTTACCTCCGATTGGGAGTCATAGACCAATCACCACAACACAAACAAAATGAAACTCACCCATCCCCAACACCACCAAATGAAATACACCCAAACACATGAAAATGAACAACCCTGGCTCAATATTCAAAGTCCATAGAGCCAGAGTGTCACAGTACCCCCCCCCTAAAGGTGCGAACTCCGGGCGCACCAACATCAGGACTAGGGGAGGGTCTGGGTGGGCGTCTGTCCATGGTGGCGGCTCTGGCCCCGGTCGTGATCCCCACCCCACCACAGTCACAACCTGCTTCGGTAGCTTCCTCCCAATGACCACCCTCCAACTAACCCCACCTGGACTAAGGGGCAACACCGGACTAAGGGGCAGCATCGGCCTAAGGGGCAGCACCGGGATAAGGGGCAGCACCGGGATAAGGGGCAGCACCGGGACAAGGGGCAGCACCGGGCTAAGGGGCAGCACCGGACTAAGGGGCAGCACCGGACTACGGGGCAGCACCGGGCTAAGGGACAGTACCTGACTAAGGGGCAGCACCGGACTAAGGGGCAGTACCAGGCTGAATGGCGGATCCCGGCTGGTCGGCTCTGTCGGATCCCGGCTGGACGGCTCTGGCGGATCCCGGCTGGACGGCTCTGGCGGATCCCGGCTGGACGGCTCTGGCGGATCCCGGCTGGACGGCTCTGGCGGATCCCGGCTGGACGGCTCTGGCGGATCCCGGCTGGACGGCTCTGGCGGATCCCGGCTGGACGGCTCTGGCGGATCCCGGCTGGACGGCTCTGGCGGATCCAGGCTGGACGGCTCTGGCGGATCCAGGCTGGACGGCTCTGGCGGATCCTGGCTGGACGGCTCTGGCGGATCCTGGCTGGACGGCTCTGGCGGATCCTGGCTGGACGGCTCTGGCGGATCCTTGCTGGACGGCTCTGGCGGATCCTGGCTAGACGGCTCTGGCGGATCCTGGCTGGACGGCTCTGGCGGATCCTGGCTGGACGGCTCTGGCGGATCCTGGCTGGACGGCTCTGGCGGATCCTGGCTGGACGGCTCTGGCGGATCCTGGCTGGACGGCTCTGGCGGATCCTGGCTGGACGGCTCTGGCGGATCCTTGCTGGACGGCTCTGGCGGATCCTGGCTAGACGGCTCTGGCGGATCCTGGCTGGACGGCTCTGGCGGATCCTGGCTGGACGGCTCTGGAGGATCCTGGCTGGCTGACGGATCTGGCTGCTCATGGCTGGCTGACGGATCTGGCTGCTCATGGCTGGCTGACGGATCTGGCTGCTCATGGCTGGCTGACGGATCTGGCTGCTCATGGCTGGCTGACGGGTCTGGCTGCTCATGGCTGGCTGACGGATCTGGCTGCTCATGGCTGGCTGACGGATCTGGCTGCTCATGGCTGGCTGACGGATCTGGCTGCTCATGGCTGGCTGACGGATCTGGCTGCTCATGGCTGGCTGACGGATCTGGCTGCTCATGGCTGGCTGACGGATCTGGCTGCTCATGGCTGGCTGACGGATCTGGCTGCTCATGGCTGGCTGACGGGTCTGGCTGCTCATGGCTGGCTGACGGGTCTGGCTGCTCATGGCTGGCTGACGGATCTGGCTGCTCATGGCTGGCTGACGGGTCTGGCTGCTCATGGCTGGCTGACGGATCTGGCTGCTCATGGCTGGCTGATGGTGCTGGCTGGGCGGCTGGCGGTGGAGGCGGACCCCAGCCTCGGATTGCAGTCATCACCTCCAGCAGGGCGGCTCCCATCTGCAGGAGCTGCTCTTTCTGGTCCCGAACCTGAGCTTCCAGTCTAGTATGGGCTGCGTCGGCTCCTGCTGATTCCATAGCAGGTGTATGATTCTGTCTGGCGGAAGGCTCTAGCGGCTCCTGCCTGGCGGACGGCTCTGAAGGCTCATGGCAGACGGGCAGTTCAGGCGCCGTTGGGCAGACGGTCAGTTCAGGCCGGCTGGCGACGCACATCGTGGACCTGGTGCGTGGAGTAGGAACAGGCCGGTCCGTACCGGGAACACACACCACTGGCCTTAACTGGGGATCAGGAACGGGCCGGACCGGACTGGTAACACACTTCAGTCTCTCATGCCGTGCCACAACAACTTCCCTCCCTCTACTCGCCAATGGCTCCCGTAATCCGATAGCCTTCTCTCCTTTTCTCCCTGTGGCAGCCTCCTGCTGCCCAGCTGGCCAAGCCATGTGCCCCCCCCAAAAAATTTCTTGGGGTTGCCTCTCTTCCACGGGCTTCCAGCCTCGCCTTCGCGCTGCCTCCTCGTACCACCTCCTCTCGGCTTTGGCTGCCTCCAGCTCTTCACGAGGGCGGTGATATTCCTCCGGTTGTGCCCAAGGACCCTTTCCAGCCCGAATCTCCTCCCATGTCCAAAAATCCTTAGGAGGCGTCCATAACTCCTGTGTAGATAGGTCCTGTTGCCGCTTGTTACGCTGCTTGGTCCTTTTGTGGTGGGTTATTCTGTCACGATCGTCAAAAGGAGCGGACCAATGCGCAGCGTTGCGAGTGAACATGATGACTTTATTATTTAAAGCAACCACGAAGAAAACAACAAATGACGATACGTGAAGTTCAAATACTGATACAAACTAACAGCAACACGGAAACAATAACCCACAAAACAAAGGAGAAAACACACAGAATATATATGGCTCCCAATCAGAGATAACGAGCCGACAGCTGACACTCGTTACCTCCGATTGGGAGTCATAGACCAATCACCACAACACAAACAAAATGAAACTCACCCATCCCCAACACCACCAAATGAAATACACCCAAACACATGAAAATGAACAACCCTGGCTCAATATTCAAAGTCCATAGAGCCAGAGTGTCACACACCTATTATGAAAACGTATTGGGACATGAATGAATCTGTGTTATGTAATGAACATTAACTGAAAAAAGAATCAAGCTGTTTAGAGTTAATCCACTCTCTACTAAGTCTATCTTGTTGTCAGCGTACTGACTGTGGTCAATAAAGAGCTTTTCTCTAATGAAAAAGTCTGATTAAAAACAATAATTTACTATTGTTAACACATATAAGGCATTAACGTCTATGTAGTCAGCCCAGCTTCACTGTCGTGTGATGAAACAGAGTAATCCAGAAGGTCTAAATGTACCTGTTCATCCTGATGCAAAATTACCTGCTGAGAGGCTGGGATGACTTCCCTGGAACTGCTCCTCATTGTCACCTCAGAGTTCAATTCCACTTCCTGTGAGATGGAAGACATTGGCTGTCACATACAGGTGCACACGCACACACGCACACACACACACACAGACACACACACACAGACACACACACAGACCAGGGAATGGCTCCCACTCATTAACAGCCCAGCACAAGCAGCGGCAACAGTGAGTTTAATTAATGCTCAAACAGCAGCAGATAGAGTGTTCATCATTGAGAACAATATGGAATAGAAGCTTGATAATTAGATGGCTTACTGCAGTCAAATTACACTAATCACAGACAGAGGGAGGATGACAGACGAGGAGGGACGATTCCATGGATGGTTCACCTTAATCAAACACAGTAGCTGTCACCATGCATACAGGGACAAAGAATACTTCATTTATTTCATGCCACTTTGTGTCACTTCAGCTGAGGATTCCAAGCTATAGACATAGAGGCAATTAAAGCAGTAGCAATGTGAGTTGGAAATCCAGGGGTTTTGACAGACACACAGTCTATAGGGATCTGTATTCTTCTCCATTGACAAGTTGGCCAGCACTGTCTAGCAGTGCATCAAATGAAATCTAACATCTATACTTTAAAATAATGTAGTAGCAGGCACCTCCCCAGCCTCTTCACTCATTCAATATTCACCCAGATTTGTGGTCCCTCCTTGAGTGAGTGACTTCCACTCGGCAGGGAACGTAATACGGTCAGGAACACAGTGGTGCGGATGGATGGATAGCTGGATTGTAGGCTGGAATTTAACCAGCGTAGGTTATACTACATCTGCATGTTCCCCCATGCATCGCATGCCTGAGATTAGCCTGCATTAATTACAGTACCTGCACAGCTCTGTGGTGGAAGTGGAACTGGGTGACATTGTGCGATGTTGCAGTTTCCTGGGTCTCGAATTGTGCCCTGATGCTGGCGAGCCCCCCAGGCACGGAGCAGACCTCAGACTCCTCCATGACCTAATGAAGCAGTGAAACATCATTAGCTGCCTGCATTTTTACATGGCCTGGGATCAGACGTATGGCTAATAGGCCTATTGAGCTTGGGTTTGATTACAGACATCTGCAAATTCATAGAAAATACTGGAGCAGCCATTACTGAGACTGCAGTGTGTTTACACACACACATGCACACATGCCCGCACACATGCCCATTTCAATGTAGGCCTCCTGACAGCATGTGGCATTTTGTTTACACAATGGCAGAGCAATCTTTCTAGTTGGTTGCTTTTTGGGTGGTGCATCACAGCATGTTGTCCAGGCAGATAGTTGTTTTGCCCACCCTGCAAAGTGGAGTTGACAACTTTGAGGTCTAAAATATGACTAATGGGATCCTGCAGGGGGCACAGATAGCCCATTGTGTTGCCTGTCTGCCCCTGTTTCCACTCTGAGCCCCATGAGAGGAGTCATGTTTCTGCAGGGCCACTGAACTCTCCCACTGGTCAGCTGTCTTCACTTTCCACTAACATAGTACCACAAAGTCATCAGTGGCTATCACAACAATCACAACACTTTGACTCTTTCTTTGCATGACTGCAACTACTTTAGAATTATGCAACCTCATTAAAAATGTGGAATAAATTACTTATAGACTGCAAAATCTAATGTCCCATGTCCATACAGTCACACGCAACATGGCAGGGTTAACAGGGTTGGCATGATGAAACACACAATTAATCAAACAATTATGTAGTTGGCTCATTAGAATGGACACACTGGGCGAATCATTGAACATTTAATAATAATAATATGCCATTTGGCAGACGCTTTTATCCAAAGCGACTTACAGTCATGCGTGCATACATTTTTTTGTGTGTATGGGTGGTCCCAGGGATCGAACCCACTACCTTGGCATTACAAGCGCCGTGCTCTACCAATTGAGCTACAGAGAACCACATAAATAAATGATTATTTTTTTATCTTATCACCTACATTGTTAGAAGCTTCTATGGTTAGGTTTGTCAGTAAGTCAGGTAGTACGACCTAAAACTGGTCTTTGACGAATACATCCATAAATGTATCACCATATCCTTATAATGTATTGTGTGTGTCTGCCTACCCCGCTGGAGAAGATGTTGTCCTGCTGCTTGGAGACAGCTGCCTGCTGGTGCATGGCCATGGGTATGGTCAGTGAGATCTGGTGTCAGTGGGTACTCGTGTCAGTGGATCCTGGTGTCAGTTGTACTGGTGTCAGTGGTTCCTGGTGTCAGTAGGTACTGGTGTCAGTGGATCCTGGTGTCAGTGGGTACTGGTGTCAGTGGATCCTGGGGTCAGTGGATCCTCGTGTCAGTGGATCCTGGTGTCAGTGGATCCTGGGGTCAGTGGATCCTGGTGTCAGTGGATCCTGGGGTCAGTGGGTACTGGTGTCAGTGGATCCTGGGGTCAGTGGATCCTGGTGTCAGTAGGTCGTGTCAGTGGGTCCTGTCAATGGGATCTGAGTCTTCAGAGTGAATCCTGTTTCTCTGAGTTCACAGCTTCCTCAGGAATTCCTAACCTGGTAGTTACACCTGCGCTGCCAGCAGCTAAGGGAACAGCAGTCAATAATTATAACATTTACCCAACAGTCTATGTTATACACAATATTATGGTTTGACTATTTCACTAGTAGAGCATTTAGTGTATAGTGTTTTATGTGACCAGCGTTGAGTTGCCATGGGGCCGATTATAAACGTGCTTATAAAAGAGGTGCATTACATGGAGTTGCACAATATCAATAGCCCCACAAGCCGAGTGATCTCACAAGTTTACATGAATATTCGCTTCACAAAGTGCGCAAGATCAGGCGGCTTGCAGGGCTACAATATCAATATCTCCCTCACCAGTTCAAATAGGGGACACCGATTTAAGAGAAGGAGATCTATTTTGTAGCTACACAGTACATTGATAACGGGAACAGTGCAATCACATGACATGCTTTCGACTGTAAACATACATTAAATAAGCGCAAAGGGGCGACAATCGTTTTAATATAGCTGAAGACCTTACAAGGAGTTTACAGTCCATCCTTAAAGCACAGGGATATATGTTAGCTTTACGTGCCATTCTGCCAATTGGCGTTATTTTAAAAGAACGGTACAAAAACATCCATAGGAATGACTGGCAACTGAGCTTTGAAAAGGCTTTCAAACTTTAAATCTAACATTGACAGTAGACTATTAATGTGTTCTGTAATCAACATCATGACATGGATAGTGGGTGAAGTCATTCTGTATTGTAACTGTTTCTTATACAGCGACCGCACACATCCAGCATAAAGGGAATTCACAATGTTTTCCATGAGGGTGTGCAGGTGCTCTAGTGAATGAGATAGTCCCTCTCCAACACAGGAGCATCATTCAAATCAATTACAGCCTTCCCAGTGGATGGCCAATTAAACAGTGGGCGAATAAAGATTTATGTTTGTCAGTGTGCTGTAAAACATGGTTATGGAAATGACTATCTGACACCTCAAACTGTTTATAACCCACACAGAGTGCACATAAGCCTTGGTGCTGAGCCAGCATGGACGCCTCATGATGTGATGGGGGCATACTTCATCTCTGGTGGTCTGGTTTTAGGGAAGCATGGATACACAGTTTTATGTTGAACTACAGAGGCACTAAAGATCATTTTGGGTTTGTGGAACATACAGCACCATAAAAGCATTGCTTTGGAATCACGTAAGGTTACACTCATTAAGAGGAAAGTCCTCATTCATGATCATTTCAGTTATTTTAATTGGCAGGCGGTATGAAGCCTAATCACCATTAATCAAATTAAAAACAGATTCAACATGCATTAGATAAAGTCGGGTCTCTGTACAGGCGCAAATAGTTACTTTATCAAACTGAATGAAAAATGCAGAATACCGTCATCAAAAAAATAGTCAGACTGGAGATGATATTTCACTTACATAATATGAATTATGACAGGGGAGTACAGATTGAATCACTTCATATGAAACTGTATTTCATAGCTTTAAATGCTGTGAAGCATCTTTTTTTATCTGAAGGATAGGTCTACTGCCTTGCTACCACAAATAAAGAAGTATACTCTTAAGTTAACAGTGACTAGTTTTAGCCTATTTGTGCTCTAAACATTCTATAAATGTATTTGAGTCTATAAACATTTGATCACCCAGGAGGACAATGAAAACATGCTGATAGGCATAAATAGTCCAGCTGGTGATTGATGCTGTTGATAAGTACAGCATCATAGGATTGTGTGGACAAGACGGTGTTGGGGCAAAGCTGTATCTGACCATCTATTTTAGCCTAGAGGCATGATCAGCACGCTAGTGTAAACCTATCAGCCTGTCAAGAGAGATGGGGGACAAGCATAGCCACCTCCCAAAATAAGATACATTTCACCTAGTCCAAAACCATAAATCCAGGTAGCTTCAACATACCTGGCGCAATAGCTAATGGTTTCTTATATCAGATATAGGAGAATGTTCAATCTCTACCATTGCCTCTGGAGGCCATGCAGCTATAATGTTAATTAAGGATGTTGGAAACTTTAAGGCCCAGAAATGTTTCAACAATCTTGGGATATCTTGTGACATGTTATGTTCAGTTGAGAGCTCACATAACAGGAAAGTGAAGTAATCTAGGCGCCAACTACCTGCAAAAATAAATCCACCCTATTTTAAACTTTGGAGTCCTGCAGAGTCGTATTTCTCAGTAAGAGCTGGAGACAAACTGTGAGGACAAGATTTTTAAAGATCGGAAGACCCATTTCCAGAATCCTGACATTGTCCTGTTTTGGGTTTACAGTAATATGAAAATAAATCTTTAGTGCGTTTGAGGTCATACCATAATGTTCTTACATCCATACGTCAAGTGAGTTTAATTATATTTGCCATTCAAAACTCTCAGTAGGCAATAATAACCTTCTGAGGAACTGTTTTCAGACAGACAGGAGCCTTGCTTTTGGTATGCAGAGCTCAAAAGCTAAATTGAACTAAGCTGTGGTCTATGACATCAGATCTTCTGCTATCTGAGATTACGAGACAAGGAATGACAGTCTGTCTACTTAGTCAATGAGGCTACAGAGGCAAATCCAGTATTTTCCAGATAAAAAGGCAGTTCACGTTACTCAACGTTAGCTTACTGTCCAAATCTGAAATATTTTATGACAGTACTACTGGCCCTTGGGAAGTTCTGATTGGCCTATTACTCCGCAAGAATGGACCTCCAAAACAATGTCTGTTCTGTGAGGAAAATAATAATGATTTCAAACAGCACAAGAACAAAACCGTGCTCCTCTGCTCTCCTTCTAACTACTGGTTATGTTCATGCATTAAATTACATAACCGAATACTGACACATAATGAACACATGGGAAAAGATAACTCAGATCTGCAAAGCACATTTTTATTTCTCCACTGCAAATATGAATTCAACTGTTTTGCTTCCTAACATCATATTAATGACTGAAATCAATGAATACTATTTAATGGCTTATGAACAACAACATTAGCTATGTAGAAGTCAAAGACCACCCAACCAACACAGACAAAGTTGCTGCAAGACGCTTCGCCACCTACCAGGTCTGTGAAGAATAGAAAAATATAACTCAGTCGATAGAATCCCACAGGAAGGCCACTGAAACCCCTGGCCTGCAGGGCGTCTTTCCTCACCACAAGTCAAATCCCTTTTGGTGTTGGAGTCCAGCTCCAGCAGTACGTGATCACCTCTGTCTAACGAGCAGACAGTGACAGCTGGTTTTATTTTAGACCCCCCCCCTGTAAAAAGATGGGCCAGAGGTGCTTTTTTTAGAGGGTGAGGCCTTGGTGCCTTCCATGTCGAGTCCGGGAAATCTACATGTGAATACATCCTGTAGGCCACCCACTTTTACAAGCCACTCTACTAATAAACCAGATCACTGCAGTTTCATCATCACAGATTCCATCATAGCTCACTGTCCACTCTGCAACTACAGCTGTCATCATGACCTATATTTACATGCCAAAAACATACACATTCAGTCATATATCTAATGCTTTAGGTATCTCTACCGTTCTACAGTCTTAAATTACCCTTCACAGTGTGAGCTGCTGGATCCTAGGAAAGTGCTGCTCACTTGAATGATAACAGTTAATGTTAGAGAGAAAACGGACCCATGTGATGCATCATCCAGGGGTTTGGAATGGGGTCAGTGGTGATGTAACGCTAAAGGCAGACATTGCAAGAGACACCTGAGGTTCGGAGAGCTCTCGCTCCTCTCACTCTCACTCCTCTCGTTCGTCCTCTTTTGCCCAGCTGGAGAGCAGCGGTGCAAGGCTGACTCTGCTATCCCCTGAAGGTCGGGGATGTGTGGAGGCCAGACGTGGCAGCCATGCCTCACTGCAGTGCAGTCTACCCCATGTGTAACCCACACCTGCCTCTTTATATGTCACCTGCTCTAAGAACCACATCTGACACATTCCTACCGCCGCCACTCTACACGGAAGCCTGAAACAGAGGATCTTTCGAACACAACACTCTCCAATGATTCTTGATCATGGAGACAGCCTGAATTAATTTGATACAGGACTCTTCTCGTGGCTTGATGAAATGTCCAAACAACAAGTCACATTACTCTTAAAGGGCAGGGAGGTGCCCAAGTTCTCCATTCAATCTCATTGAGTGAACGAAACTGTCAATGTGAATACAATCTGCCAACTTTCAGCGGATTTATTAAGCCTCATGTTATTTTCATAGCGGCTCTTTTTATTCTGCTTGGAGTTAGTTCTCTGATCCATAACAGAGGGGTAAGTCATGCAGAGCGGTGGAGAGGAGGCAGCAGCAGCCTCACAACCAGTCTGCCATTCTCCACCAGCAGAGCCTGTCAGGTGGACCCATTCCCATCCCCAGCCCCTCACTGGAGATAAGAAGTAACTTCCATCAGACACGAAAGCCTTGTTCACATTGGTTTGAAGTGACTCAAATCCTATTTCTTTGCATATCCTGAACAGCCAAAAAGCACATGGAATCGGATATTTCAAGCCACAGATACAAATCTGATTCCTGGCAATGTGACTTGTCTGAATGGTCAAATCTGATGTATTTGCCCTCAAGTGGTTTTTAGACTGTTATTTGGCATATATTGTTGCTCACTAGCTACTCTGTTGACAGTTTGACAAGAACATGTGGTAGC